ATTAAAAAGTAAATACGTTTTATATCGAACGATCTTTCGATAGCTAAGACAATCGTTCCCTTTCTTTCATGGTAACGCGCGTTTACTGTTTCCATAATCGAATTGAAAATCGCGAGATGGACAAGGAAGAAAAGCTTTTCGTGGGAAAAAGATACGAAGGATCAAAGGTGTTTGTTATTATAACGGTGACTTTAATTCTTGGCGGGAATTTACCGAAAAAGCTCGACTCTTCGTACGGTATCTGAGATAACTGATCGTTTGCAAAGCAGAAACACGTTAGAAGAAAAAATAGCAAAGTATTTATCTTTTCAAAGCTCATCTTTGTCCACTTAGTCGCAATTTAAATTGTCTAATTTTCGATCGCAAATATTCGCTTTTCCTCGAATATCGAAAAGTATCGCACGATGAAATAAACAACTGTTAATTTATCGAAAAATTGATAACAGTATAGAAAAGAAATAGACCTATAAATTATTTCGAAACGGTGAATAAAGGTCTGTTTGTAAGATTTATACCTTAGTAGTCTAATTACTTAAAAAAAAAAAAAAAAGTATTCTTTTCTTCTTTTCTCTTTAGCGCCAACAAAGATGAAACCTTTCACGGTGTGTTTAGGAATATCAGCGCTCGATCTTTCGAAATATACCTCTACGGAATCGCGAAAATAACGTTGGAAAATCGCATCTGTCGCGTCGAAACGCGAGAAAACATTTATATTTGACTTTAAAGCGAAGAAATCGTAATTCGCTATACTCTATATCAATCTTTGCAACGTTATCGTCGAAAATATCGCAGGATCGCGTTAACGCGGCAGCGAATAATCGCATTTTCCGTAAATAATTAGCAAGAAAATTTCGACAAAGGAAAAAAGAGAAAAAGAGAAAAAAAGAAAAAGAGAAAAAGAGAAAAAGAAAAAAACAAACTCTTCCGTTTTTTTTTTCCACGCGAAAATGATGGCGTGGTTGTCGGGGAAACGCGTGATCTTATTTGCTGGATAAAAGAAGAAAAAGAAGAAAAAGAAGAAAAAGAAGAAAGAGGAAGATACACGCGGTTTCGTAGATGGCGATAGAATAGGAAAGTATTTTCGTTGGCGAAACAGCTCTGCCGAGATCGATGAGATCCAAGATGTCTACCTTTTAAAATCTATCTTGGCAACGTTGTTACGCGTACATCGTCCATATACGCGAGAAGCACGCTATGTATATGTTAGCCTCGTGTAGTACATGGTTCAAGGTCGGCCAGTACACGCCGAAGACGATACCCATGAGGTGTGTGCGTAGGTGCATTCACCCTTTGAAACTCGCTGCTATAATATAACTATACTCGTTCGAGCTCTAAGGGATAAACCAGCAAAGAACTGTCTATGCAGCGCGTCATACGGAAATTTGCAGAGGAACTTTTGTTCGGTAGGCACGCGCATCACCAATTTTCTTCCTCTTTCATCGCGATGTCGATCATCGCTACGATTATTATTACTACCGCGATAACGATGATCGCTTGCACGATCGACGATAGCACGGAAAGTAAACGCGCGTACAAGTAAGTACGTATTGTTTTAACGAAACGGCCAGTTACAACCGTCATGCCGACGAGAATTTACCCGTATTTTATATTTATATTTAGAGAAAACTCGGCGTAAATTTCACCGTTTACGCGTTTCTTCTCAAACTCGAAATTTAAACCTTCTTCTATCTCTTTCTTTCTCCTTTCTCTTTTTTAAAAAAAGGTTAAAAATTCGGAGCATCGTTACGCGAAATACGGGATAAAAATATTTGAACGGGATATAATTGCACGGAATGAATGGCGGAGATAACGATTCTGGACGAAAATCGTACCGTCGAGTATTTCGAAATTACCGTTCGCGCGTTCTTCGAACAGTATACTGTTATAATTGGGCGCGAGAATTAAATCGATAGAGTTTCGTTGGAAAAACGATTTTCGAGTCGAATCCTCGAATCGTCGAATAGCACTCCAAGATAAATTAAATCGGTTTTCGGCTTTATTTCGAGATTACTCGACTTAACGAAAAGCGAGAAATTTGTTATCCCAAGTTAATCTACCGCGAAGAAAAAACTTGGAGAAGAAGTTCGGTGGAGGAAAAATATATATTCCATTTGCCGCGATAACCGCGAAAGTTGAAGGTAAATAAGAATGTGAATTTGGTCGACGTCGAAGAGGAACGAAGAGATAAAGAGATAAAGATGAGAGAGAGAGAGAGAGAGAAGGAAGGAAAGAAAGAAGAAAAGTTAACGGATACGATAGCCGAAAGCGAAATAGGAATAAAGCGAAAAGGAATAACGACGAACGCAGGTAGGGGTTCTACTTACTCATATTTTTCAGCGTTGGTTCACAGCCGGTTTTGGCCCATGTCGTGTTCCGGTGAGACCGAAATTCGTAGCCAGTTGGATTTTCAAATAGATCACGCAAGTGAGAAAAGATGGACGAGAGGAACGGAAAGCGAGATCTCTGTTTTGTTGGCGAATGAGCGCGCGCGCTGCGTGGAATGCCGTGAACACGGCCTCCGTTCTTATCGTTCAGCCACCTGTTGTTACTTCCTCCCGAAACCAACCAACAAACCGTCCAAATTCCCAGTTATACGCTTCGAGTTACTACTTTTACCGTACATGTACGATGGCTGACGCGTAAATCACCTAGTAACCGAATAATTGCTCCGAAAGGATCGATAGGAACGCGCGTCGTGATCCTCCAACTGCGACACGTTCGATACTGGGAACCGTTAAGTTCGTCTCGGCGGCATCGGCATCACGGTCTTCGACTAGACTGCAAGAATTTGCCGCTGTTCGACCCCCTCTAGAATCTCCTCTCTCCTCTCTCGCTCTCCCGCTCTCTCTCCTCTCTTCTCTCTCTCTCTCTCTCTCTCTCTCTCTCTTTCTCTCTCTCTCTCGTAGCGGTGCAGGCCGCCGAGGTAGGGTAGGACAGTATGTACGGACCTTCGGAAAACGAACCTTCCATAGTTCCTTCCAACGTTCCTTCCACCGTCAACTATCCGACCACTGTCCCCATTTTTTATCCTATTATCCGTCCCATTGTCCAATGGATTAATCATCGCCACGCGTTTTGCGTAAAGTGTATCGCGACGTAACATGCATGACCAACTCGAATCGGTCAGCGTGTGACACCTGATCGTTATCGTGGAACGTTAACTAAACTTGCTCGCTCGACCTTTCGTTTCGCACGACCCAACGACATTCGTCGTTACGTATCCACAGAAATCGAACCGACGAGGATGAACCCGACATTTTCTGACATCGGCTTGCTTTGCGAAACGCTACCATTGCATACATATTGCGAATAAACGTAAAAAATTCAACCCGTTTATAGAATTAACTTCGCTTTCGTGTCTCTTCCATCGCCGCTTCCAGCTCCCAGCTCCCATCTCTGCGGAATATAATAGAAATATTATCGCTACTGCTCGGTGTTCCTTTGATAACTTTGCTTCTTCGTAAAATGTTCCACTGTTCCTACTTTAGCTGAACGCCTTCCACCAATGTATTATCGCCTGTGCATATACGGTGTTCGTTTGAAAACTGACCATGTATACGCTACGAAAACAACGCATTTTCGGGAAAAGGGTCGAATAGCGTAGTTTCTAGGTTTCGAAAAGGAAAGTCATTTATTTCTTACTCGTTGAGGGTTCTCGAATTTATTCCAATGTCCATTTCCTTTCGCTGTGTAGAATATGTGACGGAATTAGATTATCGCGATATCGGGATGCGAATCGATAAATAATTGTAATTACGAATGCCGTTGCATTTGTTATGCCGAATTTTCAAATTATAGATTTTCCACGACACGCTTTCTATACCGTACATACATGATTCCCGTGTTAACCTGTTAATTCAATCATTTTTTACTCGGAATCGCCTTCTAGTATACTCTAAATTCAAAGTGCGTGAAAAATAATTCGTTTCGAACTAATTTCAGAAAAATTTATAGTCGAATCTTGTAAAGAATTAATTTGATCCAAATTTGATCGTAAATGTAAGTATTACGGAATGCAACGAGCGAAGAATAGAAAAGCGTTAAAAATGCTTCGTAATAATTAATCGTAACTCGGAAGAAAAAAAAAAATGGCCAAATAATACATAGTACTTAATAAAATACGAAGTCGAATTAAACGTTTACTCTGAGTCAACTTTCTGTTCTAATTTCTTATGAAAAATCTTCTACCGTTCGAAGAAAGAAAAAAGAAGAAAATACATAAATAAATAAATGAAATTTTCAAAAGCTCTTCACTCGTGCAGAGCTAGTTTACGGCTGAAATTGTAGCGGACCTATATACCTATACGATAATTTTAGACTTTCGCCGTTCGAGGTTGCCTCATTGTCATTTTATGCATTATAGACATTGTGATTTTAAGCTCCCAAATGTCAAAAGTCGTAATAGATTAAATCGTCACCGATAGTTGCTACGATATATTTTTCAGGAATCGATTTATATCGACGCGATATCGATGTGTACGAACAACTTTTTCACAACTTAGTTTAATAAGTAATAAACTTCTAAATCGTTTCACCTCTTTTTCAAACATACCGTATATTTATCTCCGATTGAAAATATCAAGAATTTAAATTCCAAGCGCATTTTCGATCCAACAGAATTTGTCTTTTTAAAGTGTATACTCGTCAAATAATCGCAATTTAGTTATAAACGTAATTATTATTATCGCGCAATTGTTTCATCGAAAACTGCTAAAATTATATCGATAAAATTATTTTTAGTCGCATGTTTATATTTAACGATGCTTAAAAGAACGTTTGTAAATATAACATCTTGCATGATCGAGGAAACGAATCTTAACTTATTCGTCCTATAATTATTAATCGCGGAATGTAAAATATGCCGGTTTCAAAGCGTTTAAATAGAAAAGTAAGAAAAGTACCCGTTGTTCTAGAATATATAATATAAAATAAGAGTTTTAACGTAACAATGTTTTCAAGATTACGACAAGTCTATAATTCGATCGATTTTATTTCTTCAGAGTCAGTCCAGGTTTTCCAGATTGCGTAAGGACATGTATATTGCATCAAAAACTTCAGGTAAAATTTAATCCATCATTTTCATCTAAATCAATTTTTCATTCAATTTTATTTCATTCTCTTTTCTTTTATTTCATTTTATCTATTTTTATCTAATTTTATCTAATTTTATCGAAATCGATGATTGAATTAACATTTTATGTAAATTTCCAGTATAATCGATTCGCTTTTTACCTTCCTCCAACATCCATTCCTATCGTTATTTATATTTATTCGTTGCTTCTTATGCTTTCAGATGATGAATTGTTGTATCGAAAAGAAGAAAGCTAGAGAAGAGATGGCGCTTAAATCTCAAAGTATAGATACCGACGAGTTTGAAACAGGTTTATATATAACCCAACATTATAAATAGTAACGAAGGAAAAATACTAAATTTTTATTATTTTTCTCTCTTTTATTTTTACAAATCTGTTTTAATCAAATCTGACTTAAATATCAATTTTCTTTCGATTTTAGCAGAATCGGAAGAAGAAGAATTTTTCGAATGCACCAGCGAAGAACCGACGAACGAGGACGATTCGACGACAAGGACACAGTTGAAAGCGAAACATCTGTTGTGGAACAAACCTGCGGGAAGATTAGCCAAACATCCTTCGTTTAAGTAAAATCTATAAATCTTTCCCAAAACTTACTTATTCGTTGCTCTTTTTATTTTTATAACGTTGTTATCTCGTAATTTGGAAAAATATATTTTTTCCAGTAAAATAAGTCTTACGGATAATCTGTTTTTATTCAGGTTAATTCAAACTGGAGATCCTCTTTATTTACCGATAATGCAGGATCCTGTACCAAAGACGGAAGATCAACTCGAGGAAGACGCTGAAGTAATGATGCAGCTTGGAACTGATAAACATGGTTCAGAAATGCGAGCCAGATTAATGAGTGCCTCGCTATTGTCCGATATGGATTCTTTCAAGGTGACGATATTATGGCGTATACATACGCGTATACTATTATGTTTTATTCCGACTTTAATTGTCTTAAAGATACAGTTTGTCTTAAATACGTGTATGCGGTATTCTATAGGATATTCTACGTATATGTGCAGTTAATATACGTGGATTAAAAAAGAGGTACAAACTATCTAGTTTATACTAACACGGGTAAGGTATAAAATAAGCCCGTTACGTCGTAGGATTTCCTATCTCGTATTCTGAAATACCGACCGGGCATAAAAAAAAAAGAAAAGAAAAAGAAAAAGAAAAACGATTTTTCTCATGGTTTTCACAATTCAATGTCGCAAATTTCAAAGTTATATTTCATCCATCTATCAAAACTAACACAACTGCTTGAAATTGGCCAAATCCCATCTATTATACGTGTATATTAAATAGCATTGCAGAATCTGTCGATAATAGTCAAGCGTTTGTATAAAATTTACATACTAACTAAAAATTATACACCAGCTTTTATTAAACAAAATGCATATAATAGTCAATTTTTCTGACTTTTATTATAAAGATACATTTCATCTGTATACGTGTATTGTATGATATACCATTTTTCTATCTTATGGTTCGAAACACATAATTTCAGAATGATAATTAAGAATAGAGTGGCAAACAAAGCAAAATTAAATAGATACATATCTAAGATTTTTTGTTTCTAATGCCAGGAATGTAATTGTTCAAACACATACTAAATATTTCTACATTTATCGCAAATGGTTACCACGTTTATATTACTCGTGTATCTATCGGTATAAAACACGCGAACAAATTTTTACCACTTGAATTAATCTTTGGGACAATCTTTTACTAACAATTATAATATTAATTTTCAACTAAATCATATGCAAAATTTCACATGTTTCAAATAAGTTTAAAAGAATGTAATAATACCTTTCGATATATTTAAACATGTTCTATTCTGTATAACTGTAAAATACAAATTTCATTGCACTTCTCAAATAATGCAAGTAATTCCTTACATTAAAAAGAAAATAAAGAGAAAAATAGAGTGGGAAGAGGTTCTCGATATTCTCAGAATAAACATATTTATTTTCAAAACAATCGTTATCTGATTATCTTCTGTGAGCCTTCATTGAAAAATCAATTTAGTTTTAAACGTCCAATTCGTCGGATACCATTAAAAATTATCAGTTTTATATTTTTCACAAAATTTTCGTATAATTATTGCAGCAAAAACACTAACGTTTTCTTTATAAAAATAAATTTAGACAGACAGATTATATTAATTTAAATTTAAATTATACACAAATTCTTTTATTCAATTTTTAATTTTATTTACGAGATTCATTCGAGATTTATTTCGATATCTTGCTACGCATCGATTCGTAGAAGAGATTGAAATAATTATGGTAGTATAGTTGGTTAATGATAACATTCGTAATATTTATTCAAAGAAAATTGCGGCCTTCTGTATATCTGAATTAGTGCGCGGAGTAAGATTTAATAGTTTATCGCGTACCGATTTTCAAATAATTTCCGAATTAAAATTTAATGCGTTCTAAAAAAAAATCCAAATTATACTGTGATATTTTAAAAAACATTTTATTTCGACGGCCACAAAATTCAAATTTATTTAAAATTTTATAAATAATATTAAAGTTAGGAAAGGAATTAGAAAAAAAAACATGTTCATTTGCCTAATAATTTTGAAAAATTTAATTATACGATTAAATCAATTATTTAAAAATTTCCATAATCTGTATAAAAATGAACAAGTATTTCATGGACAAAATTAATCTTAATTACAACTATTACTAACGATGTAACGTAATAAGATGTTGAATAAAAGAACATAATGCACGATAGATCTATCCTATTATACCTCATCTGTGGTACAAGTATAGGATTTTTTTGTACTTAATATAAAACTGCAATAATACATAAAATTGAAAATAAAAGAAAGTGCACGAAGTACAAATAATTGGGTATAAGTACAATTAGCTTCGACTCGATTATCTCGTCGAATTTTTAAAACTGTAAACGCTGTTTAAGAAGAAGTCACATTATTCTTAACATTATTAACAAAATATAATGATGATCAAAATATTATAAGCAAAATAAACTTGTCAAAAATTATAATAATATATTAATATATCGTATATTAGTAACAAATTCGTTATTTCGGAACAATTACTTTGTCTATTCAAATATTACATTTCATACGTGTCATATATTTTTATAATAACTAAAAAGAAGTACCGAATACAATATTACAAACGATTAGTAAAATAATCAATTTTTACAGATTTAAATAATATATTTTCATTATCGTATCTGTTTTAAATGAAAAGCCGTGTTTTTCGAAATAAGGTCAATAGAGGAAAAAGATTCAACCGGCATTTCAAATAGTGAAACCGATATAGTTTGCTGTAACAAATATGTTAAAAATGTTAAAAAACTAGTTTTTCATAATGTAATGATCGTGTAGAATAATTCGATAAAATTTCGATCAAATTGATCCGATAATTGTTGCAATATTCTAATGGCAATTTTTGAAAACGATATTCCAAGAAAAGCATATGTAAATTTCTTATTAAAATTTTATACCGATATTCTACAATAATATTCTATGTTTTACTCTTTCGAATAAAAGCATTTCGAAACACTGATTTTCATTTGTGTATATATAATTCTTTAAGAGTGCAAATGGAAAATGATACAATAGTAATCGAAAAACTTGACGAACATAGGCTGCAAATCCTGGCGCAGTTTTGGAAGACTTCATTCGTTGGTATTCTCCAAGAGATTGGATCGAAGATAGTGGCACAGATGAATGGGATCAACCTAGAGGTTTTTCTTTTTAATTACCTTACGTTTCTAAGATTAAAATCATAAAACTAAACATTTTTCAAAGATACTTATATTTGTATAATCTGTTACGTAATATAGGTCATTTATCAGCAAGAATGTTAATTCCTAATAATCCATGGATTACAATTTGGAATTCAGCTCAGCCTGTGCCTGCACATCGACAAAAGCGATTATTCGATGATACGAGAGAAGCTGAAAAAGCTCTGCATTTTTTAAACACAAAACGTACAGGTCAAATTGCTCAACTTCTTTTACCAACTTTAACTCATGCAGCACTTTACACTCTAAGCGAACAAAAACAGGATGCTCTACCAAATCTACCTGATGTTGCACTCAGTATTCTTAATAAATTACAATACGCAACGAAACCTATTCCAAAATTACACACATATAGGGTAATAAATTAATACGAGTTATGTATGCATTACTGTATTATTATTATTAACACATTGCGTACGGGTTACGAGATATCTTGTTTTCAGCTTTTCTCGATTGAATCTGTGACTTAGGCAACCAGAGACAAATGTTTTTGTTACGTTACCAGGGTAGTAAAGCCTTGCCCATTATTGTGACAAATGATAAGCAAAATAACTAAATGTTAACATTCCAAGAATGTAAAAACAATTAGTCAGTGTGAGGATCGTTTACCGTACCTTTTAAAGTGTTTTATTGTTGTACATTTTGTTATTTCAAAGTATACGTGCAAATTTGTACGGAAATAGCTTTTTAAAAATCATTTACATTTTCAATCTGGTGCCAAACACCATCGCACAAAGGAGTATGCTTTACCAGATATCACACTCTGAAGCATTATTCAAGTTTGTAAAATAAATATTAGTTAAAATGTAAAAAATGTTATATAATAAATCGATGTATAAAATATATAGTAATATCTAAGAATACTTTATGCGAATATATTATCAATTTTAAATTAAAAATGTGCATATATGCAACGTATTGCTTGCCAAGCATGCTTCTGGGGCGTTGAAAAATGTGCGGACTTCGAGAGCGCTTTGAGCGCGCAAAGCGACGTACGCAATGTGTTAATATTAATATAACATATTACAATATATTATCGTACATTATATATTATGATAATATGGAAAAAAAAGGAATTATAGATTAAGAACAGATTCGTTTTAGGAAATAATTCAAGATATAGAAGGTGTGGAAGCTCTTGTTGCGCAAGTAAATTCCTTGCAACATAAACTAGGTGATAACAATGATTCTAAGGAATTTACTTCGTTTCTTATCCAATTAATGCGAGGAAAGGAGGTAGAAGTACCAGATGGATCAAGAGGAAATATCGGTTCTCGGATAACAACAATGTTCAGAGATGCTCAAAAAGTATTAAATAGTACTGATTTAAAAGGATATTCGAGTCTAGACGATCATTCTTAGTGTTATTTCTGACATATAAGAAAAATAAAGCATATAAAAAAGATAAGTATAGAATTTAGTTGTCATGTTCATATTTGAACTAATTTAACTTTCTACGCATAGAATAAGCTCTTTGTCGTATAAATTACTCCATTTCGTATCTCATGAATCATAAATAATTCATGACCATTAATGAAAATAAAACTTTCATCTTACAAAGATACTTTTTTGCTATATTCAAATAGTATAAACGCAAAGAGAGACCAAAAATTTCAGTATAAATACAATGTTTTTTAGTTGAATACCTCGATATCTCCTTCTTACTTGAATTTAAGTCTATATCAAAATATTGCTTTTCCTTGATACAAAATGATATATCTAACTTTTCACTATCGATGTGGGTATAACTATTACCGATATTCGTACAAGTAACAAAATGTAGTATTCGATGAAATGAAAGTCTTTTAAAAGTCAATTTAAATGTCATTGTTTCTACTTGTTTGTAACATTTACAAGGGTATATAACAGAATATCGATTATTTAAACTGGTAAGAAGGAAAACTGATCCCAATAAAATATTATTGACCTAGAAGAATTAAATTTGTATAAGTACGTTACAAAACAACTGAAAAAAACAATTTTGTAAGACGAATTTGTAATTCTATGAAAGGATTTGTATATTTATGCGATAGGGTGTATCAATTTTCTAAACAAGATGAGTTAAGTAAAGCGTTGTGAATCGTTTTCTTTGAAACCATTACAAATTTCGAATGAAAATTTTCTCTCAATTAAATTATTCAATGAAACTGGAAGGTTTAATCAATTAACGTATAAAAAATTTTCCAAAGCAGCTGCAAAAGGAGGCTCCCTGTTTTTTTTTTTTAGGTGGAACGATGCATTAACTTGTTGGTTTATCAAAATGATTCTTATCGAGTTAAATTACACGTATTCAAAACATTTTCATTTAATCCGTTAATAATTGAAGAGTTATAAAAATTCTTTCTTCATAAGAAACTTCAAAGAGCTTATGCGTAGTTTCACTGCTAAATATATGTTAAAATAAAGAAGAAAAGATAATGTCGATATTTATTTGGTTTGAAATGGAGATTAATTTAGTACAGCAAAGCTTCATGTTTCGTCAGAGATACATATATAATACTATTTAATTTATCCTTTCCTGTAATTTTCACTGTTCTAATGCAACATTTGACATACGTGTCAGATTTACTTCAGAGTTTCGAATATAAACGAAACTCACATGCATTTGAAACATGAAAGATACTTATGTGTTTCAAAATATAAACATAGTACTTATATGCTATATCATAGCTATACAAATTTTAATTTGTAATATTCATTGCGGAATTGCGTTACTTGAGTTACTCCTGCAGAGCTTAACTTCCTGAATACGAATCCGCAAACGAAATTGCTCTGTCAAGCCCAATTTTTGAAAAAGTTTTTCTACAAATTTTTTATTAACGATTTTTTACTAAAATGAAGAATTGCGCTAAAATGAAAGAAATTAGAAGGTTCACTCTCATCTTTAAAATTAGACAAGGGGTTCCCGAGTTTATCGATATTCATAAGTATAATTATTTGAATAATTGCAATTAGTCATTAAAATTAAAAAATAAGCATTGCATTTTTACAAGAAGTTCTTTATCTAGCACGAATTTGTTAAACGCAGTCGTATTCTGTAAACTTTTCCGAAGAAGAAATTATCCAGAAAAAATATCGAGATAATCTCCAACGTTGACAGGACGATAAAATAAACATATAGAAACGCGTAAGCTGTTTTGCCGCCACGCAACAGCCATTGATCACGTGTCTAGATTCGGTAGGGCCGTAGTCATGTGTACTCGTCACCAAAAGTATATCCAATATATCTCATTTTTATACGTATAAAAAATTATTAAAAATTTCTTTCAATCGTTTGTAGTTTAAAACAATTTCGCTATTTAATACAAAGGACTTTCTAATATAAAGTTGTTAAGAAATAAATATAATTATTTATGAATTTATGAGTTTTATAATCGTGATAGAGCAATTTCGTTTGCGGATTTGTGTCGAGGACGGTAAGTTCCACAAGAGTTACCCAATGATAATTACAAACTAGAGGAAAAGTTAAAATTTGTTGTACATTCTAATCGTTATATTTCTAATTTAAACGATATATAAAATAAGTATTTTAATTGTTCAATAACATAAGTCAGTTAACCAAGTAGTTTGCGAGAAAAAAGTATCATCGACTTAAAAATTCAGTTAATTAAAATATTTTATTAAAATTTTGTATCAAATGGTAACGTTACTTAGAAATTTTATTCCTTCTATACAGATATTCTTACGAATCTTTCGAGAATTTCACGAAGCAAATCCTTTGGACTATACATATGCCGATAGTAAGAAGTAGTAACGAAAATGGAAATAACAAATCATCTAGATTAGAATATCCTTTAAAGCAAATATGTATTCGAAAGAAAAAACATTTGATCAATTATTTCGTATGTTTTAGGCTGCTCTTGTAATGATTACTCTAAATAGTAATCCAGAGATAGATACCGAAGATAGTAAGTTTAAAACATTTCCAGAACCTTGTTGCAAAGAGTTTGTTTTACGTGTCGTTTCACCGCGGCCTTCGCCAACCTCGACACCACAACCACAGAGACTTTACGCGTGTCTTCAGCGAGATGACATTCGTTTAGCTGGATTCTTTTCAGAGGATACGATATTTTTGTAGTGCACATTTCGATATTTTTCTAACCATTTGATCCACAATCACAAATATGGACATATTATCAGTGAAACGGACAATATGCGACATATCGTCCCGGAGGTCATTTAACGAGTCTCGATGCTCTATAAAGATTTATCTGCTGTTTCGATCTTTTTGCACGATACAAAAGTATCAGAATTATATTCTTACAACAGATTACTTTAAATTAGATCTAAATATGGATAAACTTTAGAACAACTTCAAATTTCCCGTACATTTGCAAAATTTTAGCAAATTTTGGAAGATATCCGAAAATAAAGAAATTACGCGAGAATTGGGTATTTTATTAGGTTTAGTAGAAAGCATAAACTTTATAACACATACAGCAATGTAATAACATTAAAGAAATGTTGGAATTTTCTAAAAAGTTGCAAGTATTTTTTTGCTTACATTGTACAATCCCGACACACCTTTCGAGGACACACGAAATAGAGAGAAATTTTGCGTATCACGAGAAAACGTATCGTGGTAATAATTATTTGACTTTACAATAATCATGGGGGAAGCTTGTGAAAGTTACATTTGAATTTTTAAGTAAAACTCTCTATTTTTTATTTTTTACAATCTCATAATTTGGTATCGAATCGTTTCTAAAATTCTATTCTATTAACTATCGGTATCGTATAATTATAAAACATGATATGTAATTTTCCCGTCGAAACTAGCATTATAGTCGATTTATGTTATCCGTTCAAATAACGATACTCGAAGTATACCACGTAGCATGATCAGCTTAATTCATTTCATTCTTACTGACCCGATTAAAAAGTTTTTTCTTCCATTGTTTATAGATAAACAGCCTATATCTCTTTTTACAGCTATCTCGTAACCGATATTTATCCGAATTCGGCAAACATCATAGCAGATATCCTTTTCTCCATTTTCGCGTACTACGTAATTGTACACTTTCCGAAGTCGTTGATAGATCGGTATTCTCTCTCTCTCTCTCTCTCTCTCTCTCTCTCCATCCCCCTCCCCCCTTCCTATCACCATTAGTCTTTTACGATCTTCGTGTGTTTCTCTCTCTCTCTCTCTCTCTCTCTCTCTCTCTCTCTCTCTCTCTCTCTCTCTCTCTCTCTCCATCCCCCTCCCCCCTTCCTATCTCCATTAGTCTTTAACGATCTTCGTGTACGTATACATTATCTTCCACGATGGGTTACAATAGTACGGATGAAAAAACCGAGATAATACGCAGAAGAGAAGTTGGCCAAAATGTAAGGCAAATGATAGAAATGTACGTGCTGTATTAACTATAAGAATGGCACATAACCCGCGAGTTAGTAATGAAATGTATCTAATCATAACGTGTATCGTTATAACAAACGCCTTATGGAAATAATTTTTATAATCGTGTAACGTTTTATCCATGGTTCGATTACAACAGGTCGAAACTGACAATTTATTCCTCGATAAAGTACCGTTTACAAGTAGAGAAACAATGTCCGCAGAGTGTTAACGCGTAATGCGGTATAATCGGATAGTGAATATTTGGACTGCGCTTTATCGGCGGCGGATATTAAATGAACGAAAATACGTTGCATTCTTCGAGAATGAATTATTATTACGAACGAGCATCGTTCGGTTATGGCGGAGTAGCGAATCGATCGGGTCGCTTTCCCGATTTTATTCCTTTAAATTTCTTCTTGCGAGAAGCATTAAAGAAAGCGTTTGAAAGGGAATTGTACGAAGATACGGTGGAAAGTGCTAAACCGTCTATCTATCGTCTACGCGAGTGTATGACAACACCAATTGGAATACCGTTTGAATCAGAGTAAGAAATATTTTTCTCCGCGCTTCCTTAGATTTACGGGAAGAGGAAGGAAGATATTTGTTACGATGTTTCTCGACTTTGTATTAACGCATTGTTACCCGGTCACGAGTTAACTCGTGCCTTCATGCCCAAACGTTGCTGACCGGTCACGAGTAAACTCGCAATGCGCTTTCGTTTCGCATCAGCGGCGTTGGATCAGTGCGCTGTCTAAGAGATATATTTGCAAAACCTGCCATGTACATTACACGTAAATGATTGCTACACCGTTTATCATACCAAAAAGAAATATTAAAAGTTAAATATTAAATGAAATTTGTTACAGTTTATTTATATCGTTTCGTTTCCACTTCTAATTACAAAATAATAGCCGGTGACACGAGATAAATTCTGAATAAAATTTCCGGTCAACATTGTGTTAACATCCGTGAAAAGAGAGATGTAAAAAAGATAGATTTATTTACGACAAACTGAAGGTTACCTTGAAACTTCACCTTGAAACTGAAAAGAAACGAGTGGATAAAAAATTTATTACAATCATCTTAAAGCTCTCTGTGAACAATATTGTACAAGTAAAGAAAACTTTTCGATTAGATCAATAATAACGAAATAAATTAAGCTGGCCGCGTTACGTTGTCTACTCTATAGAACATTTACGAAATAGTTCGATTGGAATAAAAATATTTGATATTTATATTATTCGTTCGTGTTCGCTAACGTGACGGTACAGTAACGTTCGGTACTATACAGTGGTTGCCGTTCGAAAATGTCTTTACTTTAATCCTTAATGTAAATTAATTCGTGGCGTAAAATTCTTTCACACGCTTACTGGATACATATAACGCGAATTTCTTCGACGCGCTAAAGATATTACACTTTTCTTTTTGCAACGCGCTATGTAATAAAATGTACGAATTCTCCGCATTTACGAACTTTTAACTTTAGTCGAGCATCGCTAACTTCATCTTAATTAGCACGCTACCGTGTTTATTGGTGAAACGTAGAAAACAAAATTTGACACGTGCCAAACGCGTTATTTACGCGATTCGTGTTGTAAGAGGTACAGAGGTCTGTTTTGTACCAGAATTTTCAACTATACGATCTGGCTAAACAACATTATAACTTTTAGTATTTACAAACGTATTTACAAGCGAGCAGTATGTAAGTAGTAGTACTTCTACAACGTTTTACACACTCAAGTGCCGCGTATACGACTGATTGCAACTGTTGCATTATTATAAAAAAATATAAAATTCTTTGAGTGAAATAACGGAGAGAGAAGAACACGGAGTAAGAGTCTCTCTCTCTCTCTCTCTCTCTTTCCCCCCATGCTTCCCTTTTACGATGGATCCACGTGTGCGAAATGTAATGCTACAGCGCGTAAGTACAAGCCGTTGTACTGCCGTTGGTCGCGATTCCAACTCGAAAAGCTAAACGACGAGATTTGAAATCTACGTCCGAACGTGGAATCGCGACTGCTGGAGATGCGAGATCACGCCCGGAAAGAAGGTGTGAAATCGCGAATGAATGAACCGAGAAGTCCGCCGGCTATGAAGGGAAAGGAAACTCACAGGGATGGTCCTCGATCGTCGATGATCGAGAATGATCGATGACCGTCGTCTCTATCGCATTCGATCGCAGCACACCGTCGCATTTGAACGGAAGATGACCAATGGAAAAACTGGAGTCAGTCTTAATGTACGGTGTCGCTATCTATCGTTTGGGTTGAATGAAAAAAAAATTGGTGAATTTTCGAAAATACGAGAAGAGTAAACGTTACGAGCAAGGTTCGCATGGCACGTAATAAGCCTTCGATTTATTAAATATTTCATTTTCACCGTACCGTTGCGTCCCGAACACTGCAACTCGCTCGGGGAGTTTCGCGGGGTTGTAAGGTCCGCTACGCTGCTGCGGCAATGTTCCTGGGATGCGGTCTACTTTAACTCGATAGAGTAGTCACTCGAATAAAAACGTTTAAAAATGACTTGGAATACTAATATATTTGGTTCACCCTCCTTCCTTTTAAGGACTTCCTTTAATCGTTTGGGCATTGAATCAGCTAACTTTTTCGTAAAATCCGGCTCGATTTTATTCCATTCTTGTAAAAGAACATTCTTCCGGTCTGCTTTACTCGTTATACGATGTTTTCCAATCCTTTTTCCCAATTCATTCCAGACATGTTCGATAGGATTGATGTCTGGTTTCTGGGGTGGGATGGGGTTCGAGTACCGAAAGCGTATGCTGCTATCGTGTCGAAAAGAAACGATTTAATGGGCATAATTGGGCAGTTACCGATAACAAATGCACGGCGCCTGACGACGTTGTTCGTTTGGAGGGAGTAACTATGGTTGAGCGCCTAAAGGCGCTGTTCACAGCGAAAGGGTTAAGAAAATAAAATATCAACTTGGCGTGCCTGTGACTTTCGCTAATAACACGCGGTACTTTTTCCGGTTTATCGCGTATTCGGCTGTTTGCATTGGTGACCCCATATACACAGCTGTGGAATTCGTCGCGTCGCGCAATGGTGTTTTCGCGATAGAGTTCTCTATCTAAAATATCTATTATCTGCTAACCGATCGATCTGATCTTCGATTAACGGTATTGGATACTTCTAAATACTTCTAAAAAAAAGAAAAACGAAATACTTGTAAAAGAAGTTTCCGATAAGCGACACACACGCGATTGTAAGGGCCACCTTATCGCCTAGATTATACCAATGTCTCAGGAGTGAACGCTGAGCAAACAGATGCGCACTAACTGTAAGTATATTGTACCTCTCCATACCCTTCCTTATGATCCAAGCGTATAAGCAAAAACTGTAAAACTTCTCCATCGTATAAAACTGTATATATATATATATTCCAGCCGGAGAGAAATAAGCACATTTGGTACAAGAGAACTGTACGGTGTTGTGCTTCCGTGAGACTTCTCGTTATATTACCCATAACTATACGTATGCGCGCTAATATAAATCATCGCATCTTTATCCGAGGGTTAAAGTCACCGCGGTGATTCGCCCATGACACGATAATCGTCCGTTTTTTCTTTCTTACCAAAGTAATCGGACTCGCGTGTGGCAAATCCGACGATACGCGATCGACTCGGTCGTTTTCCTTTTTCTCGAATTTGATTTGTCTGTTATTCGATCAATGCTAGATAAATCCTATGCAAGCAGAGATCTGCTCGCTTAATAAACAGCGACTCCTTTTTAATAACAAACGGATTTATCTAACAATAAACTAAAATATTACACTATGTTTCTCTCAATTCTTCGACTCTAACTTTGAATACACAGGATTCTCTACTCGCTATACCTCGACTGCGCGCATTCTGCCTTGCCCGCGCCTTTGCACCCTTATTTAAATTCTAAAGCGTGAATTAGGTTAGGTTAGGTTAGATCTTACTCTATAATGCACCTAAGCCGAACCCGATACCGC